GGAGGGACCTGTCTGTGGAGCCGGTGATCATGCTTAGTAAAGTTAGCAAGATGGATTGAACGATGGCTCAACTATAGCAATGTTTATAAGGATGGCACAGCAGTATTCCATTCTGTTGGATGAATAGGAACTTCGTAACTCAACAACAGCAATAAAGCAGATGATCAAAAAAGAATTCCTAGAAGAATTTGCCAAATTTGACTAATGAATGGGGGCTTCCTGAAGGGTGGAAAAATGAAATGATAAAGGAATGCTTCCAAGAACTTTCTGAAAGCCCCTCCCTTCTCCGCAGGTATATCAAACCAGAGTATAAAAGCTTAAAAGCATAGCTTTGGGTAAAGAAAAAGAAACAGAAGCTCATTCAACACTCAACAAACATTTATCAAACATGTACCACATGCCAGGAGCCCTGGTGGTACAGTGGATTACACTTTGGGCTACTAATTACAGTCTCCAGTTCAAACACACATCAGCCAATCCACATGAGAAAAGTAAGGCTACTCCTGTAAAAATGTACAGTCTCGAAACCCAAAGGAGCAGTCCACCTTGTCCTATATAGTCACTCTGATTTCAAATGGACTCGATGGCAGTGAGAGTTTTATATCAACATGTAAGGCAGTTTGAGGGTCTTGGCAGACAATGGATGAAATAAGCAAATTCAAAAAAAGATCTTTGAGATTACAAGCTTGCAGGAGAAAATCTAAATAAAATAGGACTGTTTCCTACCAATCTCTTATATGCTTAAGATACCATAATGGTACCAATGAGAATCAAAGATAAACACACACACACACACACACACCAGAAAATATGAAAAGCCAAGAGCAAATGTCCCAATGAAAAAGCTAAAAATCTTAATAACTTAATATTCTGACCAGTTCAAAATCATCTGTTAAAGTTGCACAACCAGAATGTTAAATACTACTAAAATTACAATGAACACACACACACACACACATATATATAACTAAGTCATTATGAAACACAGTTTATGAGAATGGGCTTCTGTGACATTTAAAAGCAAGGGTTTGGAGACTAGCTCTGCTGCTTACTGGATGTGTGGCCCCCCAGTTTCATCTATAAAACAGCAGCCAAAATATGTCACAGGCTGTGACAAGGATTCAACAACAATGATAAATAGCCCAACTATATAATAGAAAATGGATACAGTATATCGATTCAAGAGACTATAATGATAGAGAAACAGCTCAAATATACAACAGAAAACGGATACATTATGTATCAGTTGACCAGAATATTGCTCAGTCAGAAATAAAAAAGAATTGAGCACACACAACATGGATGAATCTCAAATGCATCACTATGCATTATAATGAGCACAAAAAGCTGGATGCAAAAAAATACGTACAATTCCATTTATATGAAATTCTAGAAAAAGCAAATAAAATTTATAAAGAAAACCAGTAGCTGCTAGAATTGAAGGGGGATTTACTGCAAAGGAGTATGAAGGAACTCTCTGGAGTCTTGGAGAAGTTCTGTATGATGTCTGTTGTGAGATTTCTCAAGGTGCAAGCACACATCCAAATTCATCAAAACGTATGCTTTTATTAGACCTTAAAAATAGATATTACGATGAACCTAGAGGGACAGCAAGTAGAAGAGGGGGTCTGGGGGAGGGGGTACAGTGGTGGAGGTGGAGTAAAAGGGAGACAATGTCAAGGAATCACTGTAGAAAAAGAATGTTTGGTGACTAGTTGTGGTAGCAATTGTACATTCTACTCGATATGACTGAGATTTGGAATGATATACGTATTAATACTAAATCCCAGCTAATAATAAAAAATAAAAATGAAATAAAAAGATTAAATGCGTGAATGGATTTAAAACCCTTAGGTCAATAACAAGAGCATAGGAAATAATAAATTGTAAATATTATTTAAAAGATCAACACGTATGGAAGGTGGCAAAATGGCTAATCAGAAAAAGTGGTCATTTAGATTCTGACCAAATGCCATGCCCTAGATCACACAGACCAAAACATAGGAAGACCCAACTGGCAAGTAAATGTCAGGCAAAAAGATCAAAGTAAGAAGAGGGCAGGGAAGTAGCCAGGCGCCGGGCTGGTGAAAAAAAGAAAACGCAAAGAGAGTAACATTGTCAGTAATGATTAAGAGTGCTACCAATCCAAAGAACACCTAGATAACTTCAACCAGGCACGGTCTGAATGCAATTCAAATTCAGTCTGGGACCACAAGTCTAAAGATCATCCAGTAGATACACACAAAGGAGAGAGTTCTTAATTTGTTTGGGGGAGTGATGTAAATAAAATCCACATGCATGAAGGCTTCCCTATTAAGGCAAGGGATTTTGCCAAAAAGGAACGAGATCACTTTATGGACATTTTTTAAATATCAAGCAAAAATTAGTAAATCCATGTCAAACTTTTTAAATCAGTGGTTTAAAATTTTCTTGCAAAAAAACCCCAAAACCACACTACGTATTGGGATTGACTGGATGGCAGTGGGGTTTATTTCTTTTTAACCCAAAAACGAAACAAACTCACTGCCACTTCTTTCCAACTTACTATGACCTTAAAGCACAGTAAGAAAGTGCCCCAGAGGGTTTCCATGGCTGTAAATTTTCTGGAAGCAGCTGCTGGGTTTGAACCACTGACTTTTCTGTTAGCACCTGAATGCTTTAACTGTTATATACTACCAGGACTCCTAAAAAAAAGATTTACAAGTGGTAATTAATTAAAACAAGTAGATCCTGGAAGTTGGTTTGAAATATACAACTCATGGGAAACACAAAACATTTGTGATACTCCTAACATGGCCAAAAAATGTTAACATCTAAACAATTCTGCTTAGTAACACAAGTCCTCTAAATCAGACTGAAAGGCTGTCATTCAAAAGCCCAAGTCTCCTGACAAAAATGCTAATTTACAAAAAAAGAGAGAGAGAGAGCTGGAAAGAAAGCACCATCCAATAGGACACTCAGGGAGGCAAAGGACCAGACAGCATTTATCACTAACAGTCAGAGCTGGCTTGATTTTAAGGACATCCACTTTTTGTCACACTACAGAGGCAGAATTCAAGATTTCCACTCTGGTTCTTTTCCCTTACAATTGAGGAGTTGAAGCAAGAAACGGCACTACAGAGAAATATCACAAATATCACTATTAGGAGTATGGGGTTGAGAGAGGGGTAAAGCACTTATGTTTTATATAACATGAAAAACAATAAACCATAAGTTTTCTTCCTAAACTTAGCTAAATTCCAAGATATATATGACACTAAGTACCACAATTTTCTGATCAGTGTTTGCACAAATTTATACATAATGTTTAATACAAGGGGCTTTAAGAAATTTGTGGGAAGAAACTTTTAATTCCATTTTCCTACAAACTCCCCTAATTCACTCACACACACGTTTATATAATAAACAGGTTAATAAGTGTGTGTACAAAGCCTTCAAGGATTTAACTGTTCATTCTAGAATGGGTTTAAGTTCTTTAGAAACCACAATAATAGAATCCAAGTAATTACATGCCAAATTGATACTTAGATTCCGAAACAACCTTTTTATTTTGGATGGGGGAGGGGAGCAGTCAAAACACTTTTAAAAAGTTTAGAGTATTATTAAAGAATATTCTACTAACTATAACTTTTGTATTTTAATCATCCTTTCCATGGAAAACTGAGCTGAACTGGGAACCAATTCTTTTTACAAATTCATGTTATCATTTAGCTTTAAACTTTAGGCTGAGTTTTCACCGAATTAATTTTTAAAATGTTGAATGCTCATCCTATTAGACTAGATTAATTTTCAACTGAAAAGGTTACCTATCAAGAAATCTGTGATTAAATCACAGCAAAATAGTAATAACAGGCTAATAGAATGAGGTCAGAACGGGAGCAGCCAATCAAAGGCATAAAAGCATTTCCTGCAATATTAATAGTCAAAAGAGAAAACCAATCAGGGAAACCTCGAGCCTTCTTTTGACAGTCCCAGAAGCAGACGAACCAATCCGCACGCACCCGGGGTTGACAATAAGGCGGGACCGTGGGTTCATTGAAGAAATTCTTGAGGGTGCATTTACTATGAACTTGGCACGCAAGGAACACCACTCAAGAGTCAAGCACTGTCAAGTCCGATGAAATTCAACTGTTCGTGAAATTCTATCTATGGGGGAAAAGGGGGGCGGACGACGACTGCACGTTTGCCAAAACGCACTGTACCATCAAATAAACAATGGCCACTGGATATGCACTAGGTCTCCAACTTCTAAGCGACCCCCCTCCGATGACAATGCTGAGCCTGACCGTGGGCGCGGAGCAGCGGCGGCGGCGGCACGTTCCCGGACAGCCCCGCGTCCGTTCCGAACGCTGCGCGCTGAGCGGGCGCCGGCCCGCGGCCCGCGGTGCGAGCCCTCCGTCTCCCTAACGCTGCCCAGCGCGGCCCCGCCGCAGTGCCGCACCGCACCGCACCGCACCGCGCAGTCCGCCGCACCGTCCCGGGCGGGGGAGCCGGCAGCGAGGGTTACCTCGCTGGGAGCAAAGCGAGGTGTGTTGTGAGCAAACACTTTGACTTGCCATTCAAGCCAATTCCAAGCGAACCCAATGCAAAAGCAAATTTTAAAGTAAGTAGGGGGAAATTTTTAAAAAGTCTTTCCTAACCCTTCGCCCAGGAACCCACGCCCAGGCTAAGGCGAGAGGTAAACAGAGACCGTACGCCAACGGCGTCCAGCGCATCCCGCTGCGCCATTCCCGGCCTCCGCTTACGGCAAGGCCCCCTTACGGCAGCGTAAGCAGCGCGGCGAGCTAATCACAACACTGGGACGCAGCAACATGGCGGCTGCGGGCGGGCGCTGCGCCGGCCGACAGGGTCTACGCTACTCCGCCGGCGTAGGGGCCCCGGCATTCGAGCGGCAGCGGCGCCCTCCAGCGAGCGTAAGGCGCTCTGTGAATGGCGAGGCCCGACTGACAAAGGGGAGGGGGGAGGAGGGAAGGGGGGGTAATAAACACTCGAGTCCCTACCGATTCCTCCTCCTTCTCCATCCCGGTGGGCATCTGGGGCACGGCCCGGTTGATGGAGACGCAGTCGTTGAGATCAGGCATGTCCTTGCCGCGGTAGATGGGCAGCGGTTTGGCGGCGTCCAGCGCCCGCGCTCGGAAGGAGAGTTTACTCATTGTCTCCCCGCCTCACAGGAACAGCCCGGGC